ACTCTAATTAGAGAACGGACCAAGCCGAGTCGTATAGGTTTTTGCAGGACACGCTATTTGAAAATTAGTTGGTCAATAGTAATATGCGTATTATAATATTATACGCTCGCCGCTGTCGGCCGTTGTAATTCTGGTTATTTTACGAGCGTTCTAAACTTCTATGGACCGTTTAAAATGTTTGAACTTCTTTCACGCCGCCGCCGAGTATTTAGGTGTACATTAATAATTGTATGCATTGGTACAACATCATAGAAATGCTGATTGAGTTACTCATTTACTCTGCTCTTGTTCGGACACGTGACGCACACATTGTCTATAGTGTCTACTATAATACGATGTATCTTAACTGCCGGCAAATGAGAACAACTTATTTATAACACTATTGCGACCTATTATCCGACAACCAATTTATTGTTTTAATTATATAAACATTCCACTATAATAATGTAATATAGAGAATTCATGTAAAATAATTTGAATTGTAATCATTGCAAAGTTGTAAACATTAAAATATTAAAAAATAAATCTGTAAAAATTGATATTGTCTTCGATAAAACATTTCTCGTTTATATTAAGTATACACGTCATCATAACTTTATAAAGGAAACCTCGTTCTGTTTTTAAATCGAAAACTAACACTTCTCACTGAATCGATATAATATACAGCCCGTGCTTGACGCTTGTTGAAATACCTGGTATGGCGGTACAATAATAATTGCAATACCATCGTTGAATGCTTATCACTTCGACGACTTTTTAAATCTTTTTTTTATTATATATGTATTACAATAATACTAACAACAGTTATAATAAGCTCGATCTGCGTCCATCAGAATGCGGTTTTCATGGAAATGGTGTGAAAAAATTGGAATTTACGTTCTTTCGCGTCATTTGTTTACTCTAAAAGGGGTTTCACACTGAAAACTCGTCCAACACTTGTTTCTGGTTTTGTCGCTGCGTTTGGACAGGGATCATTACTTACGCCTCGATTTGTATGATTTTCATAAAAAATAAATAAATTGCTCGTGTTAAAGACTTAAGAGAAAATACACCGCTTTGTATCGATCAATTTATAGTATAACGTCGATATTATTAAACTCGGACATGCTATAAATTAGTAACTCGAGTAGGTCTGCTTGAATAGTAGCCACCACAGTAATTTATTGTGGTAGTGAGATGGTTCATTTTTCTACTGGTTATAAGACTATAAGGGTCGAATAATAATATAATAATTAATAATTATTGTTCTGTAGTCATGGGTCTTTGGTCGAAAGTCACGGTTAGCCAAATACAATGTCTGGTGAACACATTTTTGTCATACGTGGAAGTCGTGAAGGCGATTATAAGGAGTTTATTTGTAGAGCCAAGTCTAAATACATAATTAATGTAAAGGAATTAGATGTGGGCAGACAAATAAATGTTTGAATTATTATTAGTCTCTGTTTTATACTTTTATTTAACATAATGATGTTTAAAAATATAGCGATGTGTAAATGCAAAAACAAATGTGAAATAAGCCAACATTTACTAAACATCAGAACACCCAAAATTTGGCACATGTCAACTTCAAAAGATTATCACATCACTTATATCTGCTAGAATCCTAAACGAAAAATTTAATTGAGCGACATTTTAAATCACCTAATTCATTTATTCGAAACGACACGTCACTTTCATGCTCTGAAGGCTAACCGCTTAAATTGTTATAATTGGTCGGACCAAAATACACAGCGATGCGAAATGTGCAGTAGTCTTCTCGTTTAGAACCATTCATCTCGTCGATCGATTTAAAATAGATTTACATTATGTGGTAGACATCGTGTTTATGGATCACGCGCCGCCATCGTTATGTGGTGAAATTAATTCGTTGTTTGTTATTTACATGAGTAGGCTTACCTATCATTTAAAATATTATGCTTATGAAGTTATGAATATGAAATTTAAAATGTATTAGTTCAAAAACTAAAAAACGATAAAAATGGTAAAAAAATGAATATATTATGTTGTGTCAATTAATTTAAACAATGTGTACAATTATTTCTAATAACATTAATATTATTTTTCTCATAATATACCTAAGCGTTTAAAGTAAAAAAAAAGATTAATGATTCGTATTACTCAACAAAACGCAAAGTAAAAAATAATTGAAAGCGACACATGCAGGCACAAACATTATACTCGACGGCCGCGGCCGAGTGCCAACTACACTGGTCTTTTAGTATACATATAAAACTTTTATATTTATTATAATGCACATGGCGTTTGGTGTCTAATATAATCATATCCGTCTAAACTGTATATTATAAGTCGTATATATATTGAAATAATATACCAATATTATATTTTACACGGTTAATGGTAGTATAATTTTATAAAGAGACGAACACGTCCGCCACGGTGGAGAGAGGCGAAATGCGTGTAAATCGATTTAATAATTCAATAAACAATAATAATATTGCATTATTATAACACGTAATCCTTTGATCCGTGCCGACCGCCCCACGTCCGGCGACGGCAATTTATTATTATTAGTGGGGCGATACGAGTACTTGTATCGGAGACTCGGTTTCACAACAAAACCCACGATAGTACCTATAGTTGTTCGTTTATAAGAAAACGAGAGATCCAATCGTTTGCATATTATTTACCTAAAGATGGATTTTTGTTACTGTAGCGGACATAAATTTACTGTGTCATAATCATCTATATAACTATAGAGTTACTCAATTCATATATATAGAAAGATGTAATATAATTTATCCTTAATAATTAAATCATTGTTTTTAAACATTAAATGGAACAAGCTGTAAGAAAAATTTAAACAAATGCCATGCATATGAACTGCGGCTTACATGGCTTGAGTTAATTTTTTTTTAACAAACAGTTAAATCTTCTTTAAAATGTATAAACATAAATCTGAACAACTACTTTTCTCTTTTGTTTTTGATATTTGGACAAGCGTTCAATAACATCACGCTTAAAAAAATTGTTCACGATTTATTATTCTCTATGTATAGAGAATATAATAATAATATGTAACAAACAAATCATTCCTGTATGACGAATAACTTGCCCATTGTAAAAGAGAGGCAAATAACTATATATTATATAGCATTATAATATACTATAGGTAGGTACTTACATCGAGTGTTATATTAAAGAGGATAATAAAACAAAGAAGAAAATTAAGTAGTTTTATGGGCGTTTGGGGTGGGTAGACGATTCTTGGTAAGTAGGCATATTATATATTTGGCGTGTAAGATCCGATAGTTCTTTTCCGTACAGTGTACTAATGAGAGTCGTTGCGGAGGCGGAAGAGAGTAAAAAACGAGAAAAAAATCCAGCCACATGCGGTTCGATACAACGTAATATGTATATAATAATAATATAATATATTATATTATAATGGTTTCTAAGAGACGCGTACACAATGACCTCCCTCATCTGCAGCGGAGTAGGCAAGAAGACCAAGTGGGTTTCTCTCTCCGTAGCCATCAGCCGCTGAGCGCGTTTAACTAATTACATTTTTTCGGAAGTACCCTCTCGCATATGCACATAATAATAATAATAATGTTATGTCATACGCTTGGCAAAAACAGTATAACACACGGACGTGTTTATAGTAAACTCATTAGCAGAGTGGGCTTTTAATTGGTAGGTTTTTACTGTTGTAGGGCTCAGGCAAACAAGCTGCATAGTGCATAGGTATATTAATATTAACACTACACATGCAGTGTACACAACGGTTTCCTTGTGATATTTTGTACTATACTTAAGGAGTATCATGTGGAGTACAAACTTCTGTTTTCAAATGAGAAATCACCTTTTCTACAGTAAATTATTTAGCAGATAATTTTTCTGATGAGTTGACGTATTAACATCAAAATAAATTTGAACAATTAGTTTTTGAGTTATTTAACTTTGTTAAATGAGACAATGGTCCATATTATGATGACGGGTATGGAAGATAACACAGGAATATCATAATTTGAAAATGTATACAATAAATATTAATCTATCAACATGTGTAACAAGTAAAAATTGTTGAAGTATAATATAATTACGCACTAGATCCAATATTACATCTACTTTATATTTTTGTATAACCATTTTTAGGTACTCTAGTTAGTACTTTATAGTTTATACTGTTTATAGTAAAAATAAAAACATTTGAATGACTAAAAATTACTTTTTCAAATTTTGAATTAGATACCTCATCAATACAAATTTTACCAAAAAATCACCGGCTTAATAATTTACATTAGAAAATGTGTTTTTTTTCCGAAAAACAGTAGATTTATTTAGTTCCAGGACAAATAATAATAAAACCTCATGAATTTGAAAACATGGTCTTTCATAGTGGGATATTTAAGAATTCCAAAAGTCAGAATTTGAATGAATTTATTTTTGAAGAAAAAAAATGATGGGGGGGGGGCTATCATTATTCTCGGTTTAAGTGTTTAACCACCCTGTGTATTATATTGTTATTAATTTAGGTATAGGTATATACCGACCGTTATCAGTACGCAATTAACACGTGCAGCTAGTGCGTGTGTTTTGGACGGTGTTAAATACTCAACAAGTGGATGACACAGAGTACCGCCAAATACCTATATGATATTATATAAATGCAGAGTGTTACGTTTTGAATTAAACATGAGGTTTTTTTTTGTCTACTGGTTTAATAATAATAAACTAACAACAATGTAATATAAGGCTGCTCGCGTTACGACGACCCTGGGCTTCGCGTGGGATGCTGGTTGCTGTACACCGATATGATGTACGATCGACAAGGATTTAGGATATTACACTATATCGTTGTACGTACCTAACTAATTTGCCATCGTTTCATAATCCCGCCCCCGCCACACCCATATGATGGGAACTACGGTGAGGAGGAAAGAAAAAAAATAAAGTATATACTCTATTATAATATAGACGACGTTTTATATACACTTGTACATAATAATATAATACTAATATTATAATTTATAATAACGTACGCGCGAGCTCTTCGGAATAAATTGGATTTATAATATGCGGCGGCGCTCAAGGTGGTCCGTCTCGACCAGCGCGCGATAATAAACGCGTTGCAGTCGTTGTAATTATTACGATTCGGACTCGTAAATATCATTTAGAATCCGTTTTCGTGGGTAACCGGATTTGAAATCAAGTGCTTGTAATGGGAAGGATGAATACGAGTCATATACATACATACACATATATTTATATTTTATTTATATATATGTTTGTTATATGAAATAAAAAACCTAAATTTGTTGATAGCATCAACAATTTTAAGCATCAGTATGCACAGAAAAAGTTTTATTTGTTACACATTACCATGTGTATTATCATTTATAGTTTATAACAAAGTACTTATATCTACCTGATTTTATAGGTACGGTAGGCACTTATTTACGTTTTATTAAAGTAAACAGTTTTTTTTTAAAAATATTGTTTTTCATTGAATTGTTATTATTCATGGTATATATAATTGGGTACCGAAGGTATGAATTTGGCGTGGTGGAATATAACTGTAAGGAAGTCTTAGACTTTTATAATTAACAGTAAATGTCAGAACTGCACTATTAAAATATGAAAAATCATATTAATAATTTGTATTAGTGTAGGTCTGATATATTTATCCAACTGACAGGTCGACTGTCGAAAATTAAACATTTCTCGACCGACCCATCATGTCGGTCTGGTCTGACAAGTGCGATAATCGAACATTATACTAGTTTCAGCCTTTTTAACCCGGCAATGCCAGTGTGACTGTACCAAAATAAGGTTGACCATGACCAGGACAGTTTCCGGATTGATACACACACGTTGCCGAGGGCTGTACGAATAATATACAGAGTGATTCAGCAAGTCCGCTTGCCCCTATTTTGTTGTGATGGAAATGCAAGTAAATAAAGTATATTAAAAAGTTTCAAAAATCAGAATTGTATATTAAGGGTAAATGGGATTAAACGCTATACTGGCCGTTTTTAATGGGTTTAATAAAAGCATAAGGAATTGTCTCCTAAGGAATCCTATAAGCATTAGGAAATTGTCTATGGGTTTGTGTGTTGCTCTTGTAAATGTATGAGTAGTAAACTATCATTAGTATGCATAGTATGTATGACTGTGTGTACTAGAAATAGTGAAGCAATACCTCATGTAGGTACATGTCAATAACGCGCATTCCACGAATATTAATTTTTTTTTGTTTTTGGTAAAAATCATCAATCTTTGACAAATCGTATTAACTTTTCTTTTTAGCCGATAACATTTCTGAACGTATTTGAATTTGCCATGAAGTATAGTTACTTGAAAAAGATTTCCTCATGTTTATGTTCTTAAATTAATTTTTCACTCAAATATTATTAATATTCTTAGAAATTCAAATTCAAAAAAGTGGCAATTTGATTTCGCAAGTAAACTTTATGACAAATTTATTTATGTTTTCAGAAGTTTTATCCGAAGACCGGAATGGTTAGTACAGTCATTAGCATCTAATTTTTGTACAAAACATAGAATCGGGGATCGAATCTCCACCATGGGGTGACCACTGAAGGCATGCTTGGTGAATCCTCCTGTATATTATGTGCGTATGTCGGATACTCGACACGTGTGTGTGTGTGTGTGTGTGTTTTCGAGGACATTGGAGAAGACCTCCCAGCGTGGTGTCTGACGATAATATTATAATAATAATATAAGTTATATAGACGGTATTCGCGGGGGACACGGCCATTTGCCATATATGACAAATGCTCTGCCGTTGTGTTGTTGCAACGACGACTACGCCTCTGCCTCCTAATATTTATAACTACCCGATGATGTAGATGACCCGTGACGAGAAGATCCGTGAAGGTTTTTGACGTTTTGACAGAGGTATTGCGGCGTGTCATCCGCGTTCGCAGTGATTATCTGTAATCCCTCCCCGGGGTCCACACCGGTGCGTGCGTTAAGAATCAGCAATTTTATTATTGTTGAGGAAAAAAAACCGTCCTTCTGGTAATCTCGGTCGACTTACTCTATTGAGCCACATGTACGTCGTCGCCACCGTGACAATTCTTTTCTTCTCATATCTACAAAAAATAACGATTTCATAAATTTGTGGTGTTATTATATAATCGTCAAAACGGATAGTCTCCTTTCGACTATGGTGTATTGATATCATTATATTATATTATTTACGTATTATAATATACACCGAGACGGGTGTGGTGATGCGCACTATTAGTGATTTAGAGATAAGTCGCTCGTCTTCCTTCACTATAATACCTACTCGATTGCCCGGCGATGTTTTTATTTGATTTGTCGGCACGCTGCTATTATATTACTATTAGGAGATAATAATATGCGTTTGTTCGACAATTTCATCGAAAATCATGATATGCCAATACCACTAATATTGAATTCGATTTTTATTTTATCCGCAGTGGCGCAGTAGTTGTGTAACACTGTGCAATAATTGCATTTTACAGTTGCAGTCTATAGTTTTTATAGTTGTATACGGTTTTATTTAATTTCTATGCACGATTGAAAACTCCTACATATTGCATAAAAGTCGGTATTCAATATTCGAAGTTGAGTGTTCATAATAATACAATTATTTGAACATTCATAATAGTTAACAATTATATTAATTGGAAGTAGGTAATCAATATCATGAAAAATATAATAATTTTAAAATTAATTAAAATAAATGGAATATCACTAAGTGTTGTGTAATTGATTGATGTAATAATTATTGTTCGTCATCAAAAAATAAAATATGAAATAATAAATTACGATTAGATGAGGTTAAATGGTTAAAAGAAGATATTACTCAAAATGTCGTAAAATTATAATTAGTAAAACTAATGGTTTTCTTTACATGGATAATAGGTAATATATTTTTGTAAGTTGCTTTCTAGTTTCTAATATAAAGCGAAGTCGTGTAATAGGTATCCATTAAGTGAACTCGTTGATTTAATGATGGATTTTAATACTGAATATTATTATTATTTTTTTTTATTTGGATTAAGGCTTCCACTGCTTGGGTCATTAGCCTGGTACTGTGTGTGTGGGAAGGGGGGGGAAGTTGGTTGGAACACGATTGTATGTGTGGCAAGGATGTGTTGCTCAGAACCCTGGTGGTCACCCATCCAAGTACTATCAACGACGGCCAGTATGGGACCCTCAGAGCGTTGTCGCAGATTGAGCATACGACTACGCCTCACCAAGCCACTGAATCGTAAACTATCAAAAAATTTTAAACTCTAACTATTTAGGTGTACGATTGTAATGTACAGTTCCAATATATATTAATTGTATTGAACATGTTTTGACCTTCTAAGTTGTTTACGGTGTGTTTTGATTTAATTCATTACCGATTTTCAGTGTGGAAATTCTCTATTCTTGGACTAATTAAAATATACCGAGATAAGTAATCGATTATATACGAAATGTTGATGATTATAAACATTCTAATTAGTTGTATTAAGATTGTGTTTAGGTTACAATATACAGGTTAGAGAATTATTATAATTATTGGTCTATCAAAAATATTAACGGTTATCAATGTTTCAAAAGATATAACGAGTAAATAATTTTATTCTTATTTTACTTACTTAATGAATGTAAAAATAATTTAATTGAAAGTAATAATATCAATGGTCAATATCTAATTGATAGGTGAACACTATTTATTCTAATTTTTAACGGATTGTTCAGCGCATTGACGCATTTGTGAACAACAGCTGTGCCCAGTTATAAATTTATAATTATTAAAATATCTGAGTTGGTAAAGAAAATAATAGCATTTAACCTATATTAAATACTTACAATTTAAACAATACAATAATTACTATGATATATATGTATATGAAATATAAATTATTTACCTATAAATCCTGAACAGAGCAGTCTTAAGCAGTTATTATTATTTATTATGGTAGTACAGCAATGTATCGCATGAAAAGTTAAAATGTGTAGTTATTGTGTAGGTGCCTTTACACATTTGTAAATGTATTGCTCTAAATATAGATATTCCACATTATTTAATATCTAAAAAAAAGCATCTATTTCTAATAAAATCTTGATTATTTTGGACATTTATGAGTATTTTTTTAATAAAACGGCATGAATAAGTATCATAGCATGGACTATGGTTATATAATTTATTATGATAAAATTATATAATTAATACAAAGTAAAAATTGAAAATTAAAGAATTTAACCGATACGTGTAAATATTTGGTATATTAAATTATTATCTAGTTCATATAATATTGTGTGTGGTAATATTATTAGAATCACTAGGTATATAAAAATAAATTATTAATATAATATCGTAGGTTAATTATTGCATATTATATAATGTAATGAATGATAAATGAATCTTAGGTTATTACAAAAATTAATTTATTTTTCATATCATTTAATAAACTGCTGTTTTCAGTTAAGTCATAGATCAATCATATAGTTTACAGTTACAGCTTAATTAAATTATAACTGCAGATAAGAACGTCCTGACCAGATTTGATTGTAACAGTGTAAAAGTAGAAAATAGACACAGGTTGCACTCGGGCCAGAATAATACTACTTACGTCTCATTATCCCAATATAATTGTAGTGCCTGTTGTGGAATTAAGTTGTTTATCTGTAGAAACGGACGTACACACCCATATACGTCTGAGAAATTAAAAAGCTTACTTTTTTAAATCAAAAACTTTCAAAATGTTGGGAGGTGGAAAATCTGTAAAAAAGGTTAATAAAATAAAAATGTCATTATCTAGGACTTTTAGTATAGTTTGCATTATAGTATATAACAAGGCTTTGCACCCAAATGATTTATTCGGGTTATGGTTTCAGGTGCTTCAAATAAAAATAGAGGTTGTGGTTTCAGGTTTTCTTCATTTTAAAGAATATGGGTTTTGTTTAGCCAGTTTATTTATTCGGGTTATGGGTTATTTAAAATCGAGTAATATATCAATTTTGTTGTGCGTAAAGTGTTAAATTTGATTAAGCTAAGTATAAAGTTAAACGATCAACTTTTCAGTACTAATGTCTAATACAGTAGTGACACACGTAATATTATAATTTAAATTTAAATTTAATATAATTTAATATTTTATAATCATATGTCACTTGAAAAATGTAATATTTTTTTTATACGGGTTATGGGTTAAAATCCGAATTTAATTTCGGTTTTAGGTGTTTCGGGTTATACTTCATCAAAATCAATCGGGTTATATGGGTTTACGGTTTTGATAATTTTTAGGGGTTTTTTAAGGGTTTTGGCTATATGGGCTAAACGGGTGCAAAGCCTTGGTATGTAATAAACTGTACGCATTATTGTTTTGGACTCATGTTTTCGTGATTTGTATTCGTATTTTATATAATTGAAATAATTGAAAATAATTTAATTAGACGATTAGTTGAAAAGTTAATATTTATTTAAAATAAAAACTGACACAGACTGTGGTGCCCAAACTATATTTTTATTCTGTTACAAGGTTGAAAATTCAAAAACATATAACCACCCTCCCCTTTTCATTTCATGTTAAATGTTTCATAAAAACATATAATCATAATTAACATAACTAAATTTAACCATACATGTAGAAATTGTTTATTACAGACCTGGGTCTGTGAAATGGAAAGGAAGATATTTTTTTTTTTACAAAGTTTGACGGGACTCAATTAGAACGTTCATTATTAAATCAATCCTGGACTCAATATGTTCTAAAATATTTTATTGGGACTCAGTTCGTATGCAACCCTGAAATTAGGACCCCTTAAATAACCTACACAAAAGATCAAAACACAATACTCCATACGTAATTATTTACATTTAGTTAAGTTGATGATTATTAAAACAAATCTACATCTCATACTATAATCAGCTAAAAATAATTCTGTTCTAATTCATTTTGGATATTGTTTTACTGTTACTCGCTAATTTATTATAATTTAGTATAGTAAATATATAATTGTAACTTTTTTATATATTATATTTATTTGGGTGTTCCTTTTTTTTTCGAAAAGAAAATACATTATAGCATTTTCAATAAGTATAATTGTCGATGAATTTGCTCGCGATTTTAACTACAATAGGTATCAGGTATAAATTTGTCTAAAACCAAACCATTTGAATGCAACTTATCAATGGTAATCTCATTCAAAATATGCTTCTGAGAAGGAGTTGAGGTTGAAAGTTATTCAGACTTTAAATTTGTACGTAATGATAGTTGATCGAATTAAAACAGGACATTGTCAATACAAATGTATGACGTTCAGATATTTCAAGCATGACCAATGCCCATTGACCTTGAAATTATGTATACATTTTGTATAAGTTATTTATTATCATGCTTGTATCACTATAACAGAGGGAAATAGGTATGACAGATTCATGAAAGATATTAGTGAACATGCACTATAAATGACACGAATTGAAATCATACCTAATATTCCTAAATTTTTTGCAAAATTAAAAATATGTACCTAATTTATATTTTTTCAGTAACATTGTATAAATATCTGTAATCTGTTAAATATATATATAAATATGCTATGACATATTATAGGTATCTACTGCAACAATACTAAAAGCAAGGTCAATTAATAATATAACTACACATTATTATATTACAAATTAAAAAAGATTAGGCTCAATAGATTAGGTACAATAGTACCAAAAATCATTTGAATTTGAAGCCTGAATAACATCATAACTATAACCTGCGTTGACATATATGTATATGGTAATAATATAGTATACCAAAAATGAAGTGTTCACTAATCAATTTTATTGTTTTTGGAATTGCTGTTAATTCGTATACAAGTCAACATTTGTTTTTACCACAATTACCGGTTGTAAGTATCTAATTAGGTATATTTGTCAATAAATCAACCATCAAATGTGACATAAGAATGTTCTCTAATACCATCATATAATATAATATGATACAACTTAAAATGATTTAATATTTATTTTCAGGGTGAATACCGAGTGAATTTCTTAGGAGTTCTGCGTTGTGCAGATTTAATCCAGTCGAATGAAAAGATTCAATTTAATTATTACTTAAACAAAACATCTGCCAACACTACCGAAATCAAAGGAAACTTTACCAACAGCATTCCAATAGATGACTCTTTTGATGTAAGTATAGATATTAATATTATTAACTCATTTTCTCTTGATGTAAGTTGGTAGAATTATTAAATTGTATAGTGTCAAAACATATATGTATAAATTGTTTTCTTTATAGATTGAAATCAATATGGCAGTAAAAGATTCTATTGGTGGTTGGAAGGAGAATGCTCATATTTTTAAGACTCCCAAAGCTTGCTCGTCAATCAAATCGTTCTTCGGAGACACTTTCAATCGAGTATTGGATGGCCTAGGAATGTACAACATCTCGTATTGTCCTTTTCCTGCGGTATAAAAATTTTTTATACATTAAAAAAAAATATTATAATTGTTGATTTCATAACATAAGACAAGTTCTTAAATATCAACATATTTTCGATTGAATCACTTAAGATGAATAATCGAACCATTGACATATTTATACTAATTGAGCTATAACGATCATTTCTAATGTAAAAACGTTGTCTAGAAATAGTGCATTTTTTTTTGTCAAAATGTTAAAATGGTTAAGTCTCAAAAATCTCGATACATTTAATTGGACACAGGACTTGTAAGTTGTAAATGCATAAGTGTTATAATGAAAAGTTTTTTTGTATTAAGAAAATCACGATAAACTGGAAAGTACTGGTTTGCTGTAATTAGCTGTTGAAAGCGAACCATTTTTAATGGTTGGATTTTAAGGCTACATCTCATATCCATCGAGAGTGATATGTGACTGTGTGTGTAGGAGACTGATCATTAGTGTGCGTGAGCTCCTTGAACGTTTTATGTCATTAAACATAAACTACAGCTAACATTTTTGAAAATTTGTAGCGTACATACACGCAGTCAAACGTTCCTATATTTTGCGATCAAAACAATTTAAACACGCGAAAGTCCCAAAAAGCAGAAGAAAAATTCACCCAGTACCAAAAGACCGATTTTAATTTTGAAAACATATTTGAATTCCTCATTTTCTTTTCTAGGTTATGTAGGGAATGAATTACCAAAAATACTAATTTTTACGATTACTATTATAATCTGCAAATAATTGCACTGATTTATAAACAAAAAAAATTATTTTCACCGTGAATCTCTAAATTGTTGTCTGAGGACCTCTTTGAACTTGAATTTCGGAAAATCCTTTCTAAGTGAGTCTCCACATCATAAAATAAAACTACAGATCAAATTGCATATACTTATAAGCAGGGCTGGGATTTTATAGCATTTGCATATTTCTTATGAGATGCTTAAAAAATAGCAGAGTAAGCTAAAAATGTGTTTCATGATACAGAGAACTCAAATTAAAAATTTTATTTTGCTTTTTTTTGCATATTTTACTACTTTTTTAGTTTTTATTGCTTTTTTTGGGTTTTTTAAGACTTTTTGTATTTTTACCTGTTTTTGAATCAAAATCTGTCAAAATGTTATGAAATTATATTTTAGTAAAAGTGTTTTAAGATTTTTGTCAATTGAATTATCAAATAAATTGTATTTAATTTATTCAAAGGTACACATATTACTCATTTAGTTAAATTTATATCTCTATTTTTTAATTCAATTTTATTTTTGTATTAAATAAAATTAATTTCAATTGTTTATTATTAATCCACGATATTTGTATGTTTGTAATATAAAAATGCAGGCAATAGTAGGTAATGCTCTGCTGTAAATATATATGTCTAGAGAAGTTACGGTAATGGGTGTGATAAATTTGAATTCATAGACATAAAATCATTGTATACGGAAAAGATTCAGAGCAAAAACAGTCTGTCAGCCTATAATACTACTGTGTATATTTTATGAAACTATTATGGTTAAAGTAATTTATTTTACTATTCAGCATTAGTACCTATAGGCACACTACAGTAAAACTAATGAGAATTTCAAATTTGGACTTTCACTAAATTTACTTTCCTACTGGAAAATATACCGAAGTTGAAATTCTAATTATCGTGTGCACTGACACAAAAAAAATGTATTTTAAGAAAACACACATTATTGAAAAATCAATACATTCATCGCACCGCACAAAATCTAAAAGAAAAAAATTGGTTTATATTTCCAGGGTTTTTATAGAGCACCTGGCTTGAATACTGAAGACTTGATTTCTAAGTTTCCCAAGAAATTTTTTTATGGAACATACAAATTTCGTTTACAATATTCCAAAAATAATGTGGTATAATGTGGTGTATGGATGTGTAATTCATATTTTACAGTTGAAGAGGCCTTGGGAAACTGATTAAACATTAAATTACAATAGAACTACCTATATAATAGTAAGTATTCACTATATTACATTCATGTTTAAGCACAAAATTATAGAATTATTTTTGGTCTGTTTACTCTAATGTATAGTTGCTATGGGAAACTAATTATACATTAAAAATTATAATACAATTATAATACATTATTTAATATTATCTCTATTTACACACATTATAGAAAAGCAAAAATATTTGTTGTCTTTATGTTTATTTATTTGAATATACACATGCAACATGTATAAATTATATTTTTATTTTTGTTATTCAAAACTTACATGATTTATATAACATAGATTATATTGTTATAACGTATAATATTATAATATGTATAATGTATATAGTACATATTAAATTGTTTTTTTAAATATTAAAGAATTAATAAGCATATAAGAATCTTATTCATTTTAGGTTTTGAGCCAGTGTATTGATTTTACAACGATGTGTATTGGGACAATAAAAATGCTTTAATTTTCAACATCGGGAGTGGTTTTTGGTGGAAAATTTGATCAAGATGGTTCTTAGGTAATCCATTAATAAACAATTTCAAAATATTTTAGTGAGTACAACATTTTGTTTATTGATGGTCATTCAAAAGTTGTCCGAATAAGTCTTACCAATTATTTACAATTCGTAGTGTTAAACATCGATATCGCTATCACATAGGACAGAGTACATCGAAGAAAAATTCAATTAGCAGGTTAATGTACAAATTTTTAAAGTAAATAGAAATTAGAATATTTTTTAAATAATTAAACATTAATAATTGTTTGGAATGTAACGTTCTTAAATCAAAATGATATGGACAAATGTCTTACAAACGAAATCATAGCAATTCAATCCAAAGATATGATCGAATATATTATAAGCTTTTTTGGCTGTTAGAAACATTTACGATGAATAACCAAACACTCCCGATATCTATTTGGGCAGAATATTCTATTTGTACAATGCGTATTCAACCAATGTGTGTGTATATGAAAAAATAAATAGTTAAAAATTAAAATTAAAATACTAGAAATCGGGAAATATAAGAAAAAGAAGAATTTATCAATATACATTGATGACGAAATTTCAAAATAATATGAAATTAATGGGACTATTATGCATGTAAAAAAAGTTTGCATGACGAAATTAGCACAATAATATATGACGTTGAAAATGACAATTTAAAGTATTAAAGATGCCATTATGAGTATAACTAAAATAGTAAAATAATATTGTTATGTGGCATTATAATATAATAATATTTGTTCATTAATATATACTATACCAGAGGTATTCAAACTGGACGTCGCGGCTCCTAGGGGCGTCGTGGGAGTAGTCGAAGGGAGCCGAGTAGTATAATTGAAAACCAATAAATATTTTTACGAAAAACGTTTGCTATTATTATTGAGGCGTGTGCCTGTTGGGAAACGTTGAATTGTCTACAACAATCATTCGCTAAATATAGCTTTAATTTTTTTATATATGTAATATGGTAAATAAATAATAAGTATAAATTATAAAATATAAATTACATTCATGTAAACATTGATTTTTTTGTCATTTATAATTTTCGAGCCGTTAACATTTTGTGAAGACTTAAAGGAGCAGTGGGATGAGAAAGTTTGAATACCTCTGTAGTCTGTACTATACTGATTTAAAAGTGCATTATTATGAATTAAAATCCTAATAATAATATTCTCCGTTCAATTTGGCATTAAAATATTGCAGATGATTATTTTTCACAATTGTTTAAGTTTAAGACAATACTTATTATGTGAATTAAAAATAAAATATTTACTATGTTTACGTAGATCTGTGTTGTCAACTGCATGGACTCAGGTTTCATAACATACGCTCAACTATCATAAACATTTAAGCAGTACAACACATTAACACATTGTATTATATAGGTAGGTACTTACCTATATGTACTTAACATGATAGTGATTAGATGTAACTATACTGCATTATTGACTATTGTTTTAATAATAAACCATAAATTAATGATCCATATTACATTCATCCCAATGATAATTTTATTTGTACAAGCACTAAGACACGTGAAATGAAAATATAAGTTTATAATTATGATAAATTAATAATCGGATGCACATGTGGAGTAACGATAACATTATATTATATTATATATAAATTATTTAGAGAGTGGCTTTTATGCTATTATTATTATTATTAACCATCATCGTGTTTTATTGATAACAGTCTGTCTGATAGATACCGATGAAGGTTACATTGACGCCGGAAGCGTGTATATATAATTCAACAATCTATAAATTAAATTAAAATATTATGTATATTATCGTTTATCCCGACCGAGTGGGTGGTAGGTTATATATACCATTTTTGAGATTTAACAACGATGGACATCGTTATCGAATAAGCCACGGCTTCCCAAGTCGACAAAAATATGTCTCAGTTACAAGGGCCAAAAACATTTAAATATTAAGTATTGGTTCATATATTTTTACTACAAGTCAACATAATATTTTGATAACATTTTGTAGCGCTATAGCTATCAGTATACTGATTAAACATTCTCAAATTTTGAAGTATAATATAATTTATGAATAAATAGTTTAATGTGTGTCATTTTAAATATTCATAATTGGTAAATAGGCAGGGTACACAAACAAACGGACTTTATTGTTTCGAAAATTAAATGTTAAACATGTTTGAAGCGTTTTTGTTTTGCAATAACGCAATAACAAAAAATATCACGGCAAGGTCCGTTTAACGTAATAGAATATTTATTTTTCGAGCGATTAAGGCAGACAATCTAACACACTCGTTTGTCCATCACGTCACACTCCAATTATTGCCAAATTGCCACTATTATTACAGTGAAACCTCTATAGTATGTATAATATCATGGGAAATTTAAATCAGCCCACAATTGAGAAACATTTTTTTTTTAAAGATATATCTGCAGTATAATATAGGCAGGAATATTATGTATTTTGTACCCACACTAAAAGCCTAATAGTAAGTTATATATTTATTAATAGATTTATAAAAGAATGTATTATTATATTATTTAACATTTTGTAAAACAATCTGTCATTCTTTTGTTTTTGTCCATCGAATGATTTAAGTGTACTGTTGTGCATAGTGTTGTGTTTAATGGTCTACTAACATTTCATCTGCAAACGTGACAATTATATAGTTAAAATGAGTTCACTTATGTCGTACGACTTACATCTTATAGTATACAATTTTATCGGTATCGACGTCTCGTATGGTTATAACTAGGGCTCAGATTTTAAAGCAAATGCTTCTATTTATATATTTAAGATAGAAATCTAATTTTTATACATAAATTCGTTTCACGTTAATCTGATTCGATATAAACGAATTTATTTTTGCTTTTTTTTGCTTTTTTTAGTATAAATGCTTTTTTTGCTTTTTTATTGCTTTTTTCAGTTATTCAAGCTGTGGAATTTTTATTTGTTGTTATGCTATGAAAATAAAATAAAAGTGTAAAGTAAAAGTTAAATGAAGCTCATATGGAGATATTGCAACTGCTATTTCTGGTAAACTAAATCGTGTTCTTTTGAAAAACAAAGGCTGGAAACAATTACTGGACATCAATACTATACTGTGTGGCGTTTCATCAGATGAAATTAATTATCATGGGTTCGATTTAAACGAAACCTCTTGCATGAAGTATGCACCGATCACTTCAGTGGATGTAGAGCGTTCGTTTTCGATATATAAAAACATCCTGTCTGACAAGAGAGTCAGTTTCACTACTGAAAATCTTACCAAATACATGGTAGTAAATTCTTTTTTTAATTTAAATTAATTTTTCAATTTTTTTTCATTCAGTTTTATAAAATTATAACTAATTCGTGTTAATTTTTAGTCGTGCTTTTTTTTTGCTTTTTTTAAAAATAAATATGCTTCATTTTTGCTTTTTTTAAACAATTTTATGCTTTTTTTGTTATTTATTATGCTTTAAAATCCGAGCCCTAGTTATAACATACAAATTAAAAGATAAATTAATTTGAATTACCTAGTTTCGATGGGAAATGTTGAGCCATTTTAGTGTCATATTTCAGCGCATATTTTTTGTGTATTTTTTAAGTGGGGTTTTAAAGTGGGGTCCACACGTTAAGAATGCGTCCGCTTTTTAGAGGTGTCCATCAATACAGTTTCATTTGACATACCATAGCTTGATTTTATTTTTTTATTTTAAAGTTTGGCTTCAAAAAATACCAATTTATTCATTCATTGTACAACTCTGTTCACACTATTAATAACGATTAATATGTATACATTATGCGTAAATACTTATAATAATTATTTATCGCTTCTATTAAAACAATAGGAACTTACAATTCTTACAGTTGATTCAGATACAAGAGTAAATATAGATCTGTAAGTAAATACAGAATTCCAGAATTTTAAAACAGCTATCAATTCAATATTTTAAAAATATCTGTAACATCTGTACCCAGTGTATACTAATTAGGTAGTAATTACATTTATATACACCGATATTATTTTCGAAATAACTATACATATTTCTATTATCTCTAATCGTTTAAGTTTGATAACTGTAGTCTGTAATTTATATTTATACATATTTTATTAGTATAATTCAAATCGTATTATATTTCACTATTCGAATACACTTATTAATATAATTATACTAAGACTTAAAAAGTACAATAAATTATTACATATTTATAATTTTATTGTGATAGTTACTAGATAACCGAAATGATTATATCGCCAAATTCGTATATTTCAATTGTTTTTGAATTGCCTTCTATTAGGTACGTGTAATATTCTTCACAATCAATGCATCAGTGGAGTGGAGTGGGTTGTGAATGAGTGTAAGCAGTGCTAAATATTAACTTACCTCCCCCCATCAACACACCAATACACACAACAGAATTTAATTGTGGTGTTAACAATTTTTTTTCAAAAGCACATACCTAAATAATAAAAATATTTTATTTAGATATTAAATCAATTCTTCTTGTTTTTTAGTAAAATCGTTAATTACAATATTGTTATTACCAGCCGAAGAACCCAATTTTTTTGTAATATGTTTTTAATAAAAAGTATTACGATGTGCGACAGTGTATGGTGGAGGCTCGGCGGCCCGTTTGCCCTACCTTACCATTGTATAAGCTACCATCAAACACGTTTCGCATCCTAAAAATAATTGATAACTTTAATTAAATTAATTATTTGATTTGATTTTAAACAAAACACTTTTTTCTTTTTTTCAAGTGTAATAGCACCAGGTTTGCACCTATATATTGTATTGTTGGCGTCAAGGTCACTATAAAGATTTTTTAACAAAAAGTCCTGAAGATCCGCATTGTCAGAATCTTTTTCTGGATTTCGAATAACTGTTATTGCAGGTTTAGCATGTATTATGATTCGGGACGATCGTTACACGGCGATTTGTCGAGCACGTTTTGGAAATAAAGTGCGACACGCTACGCGTTAAAAAAGTTGTAATAGAAAAAAAATTCCCAGAAGACATATGTATTCCCAAAACGTACAGAGTACCTGCACTCAGATGCATCTTAATATCGAACATCTATTTATGGTAAATTATTGTCGATTGCTTTTTTCGAAATTGTGCTTCTCCAGTTCTCCTGCTAGGGGCCGCAAGTGTTTCTCGCCGGGTCTAGTGTAACACGCACTTATGCCACCAAAATTTTGGTCGATTTTTTTCTTACCTACTCAAATATTACCTCCTATATACTATCCTACCGGTACTACTCGCCCTCTATGCTCCTACACCATATCATATTATACCTTTTCATATTATATAAGCTAATCTTCAAGTTAAAAAAAATCGCTTCTAGGTCGTTCCAGACGTTTAAACGTCATTGTATCGTAAACACAAACAATTCAAATTATAATATAATAGGATAATTTTGTATTGAATGGACACACTTTATTAGATTCGTTACAAAGTTTTAGATTATGAGACTTTTTACGGGAGTGCTTTAAAATATAAATAGCATATTGTTGTGTCAATGCATTTAAACTCATAACTCACCGTATTATAGAAACTATATTATTATGACGTTGGCATATTATATATGCAACTCGAAGTGTGTGCTTTAGTTCATTCGTTTGGATATTCAACCATTATTCATTTAAGAAAAATCACTTTATTTATATTTACTGATTTGTATCGGAATTAATTCATCATTAAAAATGTTAAAAATAGCATGACTGAATAAATCATAGAACAATTAACTAAACGAACAAAACTTTTTGAAAAATAGTCTTACTGATAACAATAAGAGTGTTGCGCAACTTCGACTGGTAATGCTATTTGAAATTAAAACGAATATTTTACTACCTATTCAAATATTAATAATAATATATTAATACTATAAATTATAATGCACAGTTATTAGAATGTTAGGTAATTTTACAGCCAATACTATATAGATTTTAGATTATTATTTTATTCAATATAAAATCTATTGGGTAAAAGTATATATATAATATTAATTCCGGTTAGTAATTTTGTATGATTTATTTTTTACAAAAACCATTTTCTTATCTGACTGATATATAGTGTTATAATCATAATCGGTGAGTTTTAATTTTGTTTTCGTACACATAATTTGTTTCTGGCATTATACCTAATATAATATTATGTAAATTCAAGTAGAAATTAATGATAAATATATTATTAGTATTATTTATTAGTGTTTCGTAAATTGCAGTATTCCTACCTACGATTGTATGGATAAAAATATGTTTCATCAAAATTCAAAGTACATTGTAACGATCCTGATTAAATGTTATATGAAATTCAATAAACATTGGTTTTCGTTTGGCTTAGAAGCTGAGGACTTGAATAGAAGGAGTAGATTCATATCATTATACTGTTGTATAAAAATCAATCACT